TATATAATAGTATAGTTGATCTATCCATAAGCAGTATGCAGCCTTCTATCATATATTGGTTAGGTTGTTGAATTACTTGTATCGAAGCACAGTTTATGCATCATTATATCTTCAGAAAACGAGTTGGAATTACAAGAAAATGCATGTTGATAAATTTTGCTGTGTACTTTTATTGACTTCATAATGGGTAGGGGAATTTTTCATAGATTCTAAAGAAGGATTCTGGTTTCTTGTTTGCAAAATGCTTGAATATTTTTCTTCAAAACTATTTTTTTCCCTTTTGGGATGGGATATAAATGCAGCTGATGTGCATTATACATGAGAAAATGATTCATGCATGCCCTTCACAGTTCTGTAGTTATGAGAATTCTAGTTTGTGTATATGGTTATTATTTGATTATAAATGTTATTAACTGTCTGCTGGCAAATTGTTCACAGTTTCATTATTCTGTGTCACAGTATTGGCAATTTATTATTTAAAATGGACCTTTTGCTGCCCTTGTGAACTGCAACTGCACAAGTTCTGAATCATCAGGTATGACTCATACTTACCCATATTTGAGTATACAAAATTGTGAGTGGTATGCAGCAGCACCTTGAACAGTGCAAGTAAGACACGCAGTTTTTCTTCTCATTCGGTGAATGGGTAAGCATGATGCTTAAAGAATTTGTTATTCTTTTCTCACCATCTCACTTTGGAGTAAACCCAGGTCACATCAAGTAGAGAAGGATGGATGTATCCGTGGGAGAGAGATAGAGCTAACCTGCTACAGGACTCTCTCTTTATGGTTTTGCCAGACAAAGCAGCCAGTCATGTAGCCTTGTTGCCAAGTTTAGTTGGAGTTCATTCCCCTTCTATACTAGTTATGTTGCAAATCTGGCAGCAGTGTAAAGATTGTGAGGAGGAAGAAGCCCCAAGGTCTGTTGTAGGATGATGAAACGCTAGCATCCCCCAAACCAAACTAAAGACCCAGCAATAAAGGAAACAATAAAAAGGATCCCATCTGCTCCATCAGAAGAACCAACAAGCAAAAAGTAAATGAGTAGGCATACCTGAAGTTTGGGAGGGACAAGGGTCTGCAAGGCTTGCCAACTGCAAGACAGGGATATTGAAACAGTCTTTTACTTCATTCCAATTGCAGTTTTAGGGAACGAATCACATCATGAGTCCCTTTGTGGACCTCGACTAATGATACATTGCCTTTGCCACATTTTACTTAGTGAAATTCCCAGAATCAGAAAGTGAATTCAAATGACAGTTCATAACTACGTTTTTTTTAAATGTATGAAATCTGCTGTGAAAGTATTCTGTCTATGATTGGAAAATTAGGCTGGTAAAATTATGTCATGCAAAAGGAAGATTGGCTCTCTTTTTAAGACAATATCTATTTAGTCTCTAGAATGTACTTTGGAGTTTTAAAAGTCTAAAAAATTTCTAAGATCTCAGGTTTATGGTGAGAATGACTTGAGACTTTTTAAAAAGTCCAGAATTGTTAAGAGACTTGTAAAAAGTTAACACAGTAGTGGACAGTTGCATTAAGTTTCATATAAATGGTGGAAATCTACCAGACTACATGGCACATTAACCCAGAAGACAGCAATCTTCCCCACCCCTGTGTCAGCAAATTATGTAGCAGGTCAGGGCTGTCATATCATTGATATCAGTGAGTACATCTTTGGCTTTTGTTTCAATCAAATGTTGGCTATTCATACTTCTTTAGAAGTTTTCTTATGACATATGCTAAAGGAGAAGTAAATGGTCATTTACAGAGCAGCGGTGTGCTTAAGATTTCATTCTAACCTACAACTTATTACATTCATTAGTTCAGAAATAAATTATGATGTTTCCTTCATACCAGGCCCATTTTTATAATATTTGCCAGTTTCTTTTAAAATGAGTTACAACCTGTAATTCTCGAATATAATGGAGAAAGTGTAATGGTCAGTCTAAGAGCTGTCAGAAGTATGGTAGCTAAAATGTGACGTTCCTTATTTGTACAATTCTGTACACTTTTATTTCTAACTTCTTGCATTACCTGCTATTAAAATATACCTACAGTGACTTGAAAATTATGAATCATTGGTGTTGTGTAACTCATTGCTGCCGCTGTCACTTAAGTTGGAAAACTGCAGTATTATTGGTGCACGTCTCCTGGTGGTAGGTGATTGAATAGGCTTGCCTAGCTTTCATGTTCCCTGTTTTCTGTCAGTCAAGAATAATTATCCCTGACAGCATGCATTCCTATTTTTTGTTCCTGGTTACATGAAAATATAATGATAGATTCATTATTCTGTTCCATATGCTCCTCATTATATGTGTTTGTTGTTTTGTGTCTCCTTCCGATCTGAGGAACTTGCATTGCCTCTGTGATATATACTTATGGTTTCTGAATCATACATAAACTTACAAAGAATGCAGCTGTTTTGGATTTGAGGTTTTCATGGTGGTGAGTTTGAAGATGGCTCTTCTGGGTTGTTGTGCTGTGTAGTCTTGTATAAGATTACCGACGTTTCAGAGGTCCATACTGCCTCCATCATCAGGGCGATGGCCAGTGGGTATAGTCGGCGCAGTAGTTTTTGGCCGGTGGAATTTTCAAGGGGAAGGCTAGGAGCGAGTCACTGGTCTTTTCCCAGGTTTAAAGCGCGGTCGGGGTGTGATGCTGACCACTCACCCTCACCTAGTGCCAAGGTTAAGAATGGGTAGGAGCTTTACTTGTTCTTGACCATCTTTCTTAAATATTGAAATTACACAGCAAATGTCAGGTAGAAGTAGGCCTACTGTTTATTTTCCCCAATTTCATAATGTATTTGCATATGTTTGGAAGCAGTTATTTTATAACATGCACAATTTAGAGAAGATGATAGAAGCAAAATACGAGGTACAGGAACATTACTAAAGTTAGATGCATTCCTCTGTGACCATTCTCGACCTTCGCCACTATCACCATCATTTTTAACTTTGGAAGGTAGCTCTTTTGTGGGTTGTAAAACACTGTTGTCTGTAGGTTTTCACAACGGTGAGACCGAAGACAGCTATAGGTCGTGCGAGCAGTGCTGGCACTTGCGCAAAGGACTGGTTTTGGTCGTATGAGATGGACCCGTCCGTAGCACGCGCTAGAGGGGTGTCAGGTTCAGTTGGTTTGTAGCTGTAGCTGTGTTTCGATCGGTGCGTCACCGCAGCTGAGTCTGTGCGACCCCCACTACTACTGAACCCCCCCTCCCTCGACTTGCACATCGCGCATTTAGATGCCACCACTACACGCGCGATCTATAGCTGTCTTCTGGGTTGCATAGTTTGGTAGAAGAGGTCCATTATCAGGGCTATCGCTCTGATGATGAGGGAGCAAGGTCTTCTATAACGTTAGCAAACTTTTACCAGGCTACACCGCTATACAATCCAGAAGACTCGGACTAAACCGCCCGTGGAAACCTGAAATCCTACATCCTTAAGTTTATTTATAATACTGAGGAATGTAGAACGACATTATTGACGTAAAATTTATGCATTAATTAAAGTAAAAATAAAACACGCTTGGGGGAAGAGAAGCTCCTCTCATTCTTAACCTGTGCCCACGTCGGAGATAGAACCTCAGTCATTTAGTTTGTAGTCAGTCACTATACTGACTGAGCTTGTCTGCTCCAAAGATTTATGCAAAGGCATGGTTTATTGGGCCTTTTTTGAGATTTTTTTGTATACCTATAGAAGAATACCACTCTCCAGACAAAGTAAAAGTTTTATGAATTTATTGCTTTTCAAGTGTAAATTATGGTAAAGTGGTTTTATAATCCCTGGCTTGGAAAAGAAAGGGCTCAGGAATGTTATTCATTTGCCTTTGAATTAATATGGCTGGTATGTTTAGGATCTTCCTTGTTTGTTAAATTCTAGGAAGACAGGGGTCTCTTGCTCAAGGTACTTTGTTCTTACCTTGGATATACTGCATCCCTTCCTAGTTCAGGATGTACCTGTTTGCATTGAGGGAACATTTCACTGCCTTTGTAGGAGGAAGTTAAATTTGCTGAACACCTACTTCTGTTGTGAATTTGATTTTTTTTTGTTTTTGCACAGTATAATTTTAGAAAATAGATCAACATGATTAAGGAAGTTAAGGTTATGTTTAGTCAGAAGGGTGGGAGGGGACAGTTTTATCATAAAGGGAAGTGTATATAGAATTGAAATAGAGCACAATAACAAAAGCTTAAAAGTTTATATAAAGGACATGTAATATTTTAAATTCCAACATTATTACTGTATTACTAGACAGGATCAAAGCCAATAATGCCCAACTCTGCACCATATATGGAACATTTATATGTTTACTTTCAAGTGTAGTTAATTTAGAGTTTCTGTCCATCTTCAGAAATCTTGTACATTCCTAAATTTGTTTTCTCATTATGTTCAGAAAGTGTTATGGCCTATTGGTGAGATTTTGAGTTCTCATGGTGGCAATTATGAGGATGATTATCTTCTGGGATGATGTTGCAACTCATCACCCTGATGACTGAGGTAGCAAGCAATTCTGAAAAGAGCATGATTAATTAAACCCAGTTCTAGGAACATGACATCAGTACATAAATGCACTGCTACCAATAGCAGTATACATGAGCAGGAAGGAGATAAATACCACACAGCCTGAAGCCAGTTATACTAAATATGTAGTAGAATTTGTTTAATTCTTGAATCCAGAGCTCATCTGAGTGATATTTAATGATTTATTCTTTACTGCAAAGAAAATACAACAATTCACCATTACAAAGATCAACTGGTTAATGCTTTTAGAGGGAAAAAGTTTGTGCACATTGAGAATCATATGAAACAAATAAAAATGAAGAGGTATTGATTGTTGAAGCAGGTGGTATACACAGTTACCACTGGGCTTCAGAGGGTTAGTGTACATTTGTTAGATTAGACCACATTTTATAGGAAAACAGATCCTGCATGTTTTAAAATGGTTACTGTACACAGAGTAAAATTTGGTCAAATTACAATCATTTATTTCCAGGCTGAGCCATTTTGGAAGGCAGTTGATGTAACCGAGTTCCCACAGTATCGAGAATATGTGGCACATCCCATGGATCTGTCCCTGCTAGAGCGTAACATAAAGAAGAGATTGTATGGCAGCACTGAGGCATTTATTGCTGACACGAAGTGGGTTCTGCATAATTGCATCATATTTAATACTTGTAAGTCATTATTTTTGTTTGAATTCTGTTAATGTCCTGGAAGTTGAATTTTATTTTTAACATGAGACATTTGAAAACCAGAGATTTTATTTTGTTTTTTAATACATCACACATGTTGTGTTTCAAACTTCATCCTAGTTTTAACAGAGTTGAGACATGATTACTGGTATTGAACTGTAATATTTGGTATTTGTCTAACAAATATCCAGATGCTGGTGGAGTAACAAAAATTCTTTACCAAATCAAGATTCTCACTGTTAACCATTATATAGAGATGTCCATTCATTACAGTGTATACAACTCATACATAGGTAACATACACAATATGAACTCTCTGATATAATTTTAAGATTTCTTTTGTTTTGACAGAAATATTAGAATCTTATGGGTTTCCTAACAGAGTATTTTATATTTATATATACATGTTATGTAATGAAATCACAGTGCTAATCATAATGTTAGAATTGGTGATAAATCCTTTGGAAATTTGGCAACATCCAACTACTTAGTGATTACAGGAACAAAGAAAAGGGACATTTTTAATGAAATTATGATTGGAATAAACTCACCATCTTCCCTATAGAATTGCTTGTATGTTCATCATTGTTTCAGGTAAATGAAAAATAAAGAATATATAAACTACTCTTTATCTGAAGATGGCTGTAGTACCATGTTGTCTGGTAGAAGTCTACGGGCATTTCAGAGGTACTTGCTGCTTCCATCATTATGGTGATGAGCTCTGATGATGGAGGCAGGAAGTACCTCTGAAATTTCAGAAAACTTCTACCACACAATACATCACAACAATCCAGAAGACAGCCATCTCCATGCTGCTGGGAGAACCTCAAATCCTACATTCATTTTATCTCTTTGTTTTATACTGGTGCAGCAGGATTATCATTTGAATACAAAAAGTTTAATGAATTATAACTTTGGAAATATGATGAATTTGAATTGCTTATTTGGTGTGGCCTCCATTGTTCAGGTAGCAAAACTTAGATCTTTAGGCCTGATCACAACTAAAAGTTTCAATTATGTTCCTGTTAATTTTGCCATGTCTGTAAGTATTTTCTCAAGAACCAATGAACAGATTTTCAAAAAGTCTTAGACTGTGGAATTTTTATGTGGGGAATCCCCAGCCTACAGCCATCCATATAAAGATCTGCCAGATGTTGAACAGTTGATTGATATCAGTGTAGTAGAGAAACTTGTCTTACATAATGATGTGAGGTAAAACTGCTAATTGTCTGCTGTGAGGCATATATCAAATTACAAAGGTCAAACTTTGGATTGAGGTTTTCACAACAGTTACTGAAAGGAATTTGTAATTACACCATTCACCAAAGTAGGTCCAGTAGAGATATTAACTGTATACTTCAAAGTTTTGTTACAATTTTTAGTATGTGTACTGAATCTGTGTGAACTAGTGTGAATGGTGCGTTACTGAAAGAGAAGTGACAGGCGTAATAAGAATACTAAGCTTGAAAGAATGAGGAATGACGTATGGCAGGTATGGTCTATTTTTAAGATGCTCTATTCACATTTACTTGAACTGTAAGAAGGTAGCTGGTCAACTGGTCAAGATTTGATTCAGATGTGGTCTAAAAGTGCCTTTCATTATTCCATCATGTTTGAATGCAATACTGTACGTGTACCATGTGTATAAGCTTTTGTGTTTATTTTATGAAATGCAGCACAGGGGAATCACATTCTTAATATTCTGGGGACAGAAATTGTTTTAATGCACCCATAATTAGTGTGTGCGTGCTCAAGCATGTGTAAAAGAAGTCAGATGCAGTTATATACGCACACACCTCTTCTTGATGTGGCACTATATTTTGTGTTGAGAATTTTATGGACAAATTGCACAGCTAGTATTCCAGTCATTCATAATCTCCTTGAATTTGGCCATATGTGACCTTTCTGTATCTTTCATTAATTACATTTAATTATGCCAGATGTGAAAAAGCAAAAATACTGATATGTCTGCCTACTATGAAGAAATGAATGAATGGTGATGATCTTTCTTAGGGTACGGCCACACTGCACATGTTTCGCTTGGAGGTTGGAGGTTAGTGAGCTGCTTGGCGGGAACACAGTTGTAACCCACAACAGAAACCTTATGTAGACGGCTGATCTGACCTGCCTGCCTTGAAGCTCTCCGCTACCTGCCCTGCTATCAGAACGAACCTGTCGGTTAAAATCGCTCACTACCTAGCGGGATACAACCAAAATTAGTAGTGTGTAGCCTTGAGTAATTTATCTTGAGTGCAACTACGACGATGGAAGACGTTTTGATCAGCACTGTGTTCCATAGAAGGCCACTGTGGGATCCAAACCATGATTTACATAAATATACTATGGTGTTGAGTAGCGAGTGGGAAGAATTGCTAAAGAAACGGGAGACTACGTGTCTTCAGTTTAGTTGAAGCTATCTTCGACTGACACGGATTGAAATTTTCGAAACTTAAAGAAAAATGCAATTATGTTTTTTTTTAATTTTTCCTTACCTCACAGTTACAACAAATCGTTCTTCAGGAGAATTTTTTTTTTGAGTGATTGTCCTTCAATTTCTCCAAGAGACGATCAAATGTGGCTGTTGACATCCGCACATACTCAAAAAATTTGTCATTAAATATATGTGCATCTCTATAGAGATTATTAAACTCTCCTAATGAATTCGTGCACCCAACACAAATCAGAAGACACATTGTCAAGCTTCAAAGCTGTGTTTTCCAGCAATAAAAGTTTCTTGAATAGCTTTGAGAGAGCCATCCTTCCTGCTTACACGCACTGCACCTAGCACGCTGCCCACGAAGTGCAGTGCGGACAGTCACCCGCATCCCACCACCCACTATGCATTCCACTACCCTCGAACCTCCAAGCAAAATGCGTGCAGTGTGGCCGTACCTTTAGACTTGTGTCTAGGTTCAATGACAAAAGAAATGTGAAATCTGTACTCTTTGGACATCTGTATTTGCTGGTAGATTAGATGATAGTATAGCGGACTAGTAATGGTGCGTGGTGTTCTAAAACTGGACATACCAACTAAGGGAGCAAACTCTTACAGAAAACGGGCATGTTTAGAGGCCTCAAGGTGGCAATCCCACCACTAAACTTACTCAGCAATGGACTGGTTCTCCACTCTGAGGACATGATACCTACTCGAAATCTCCAGGATGAAAATAGTTGAACTGGCTCTCCTATTCAGTTAGTACGAGGCGCGTCCTCAAAGTAAGTTTCCCTGGGGCCGTTTACAGAAACAAAACACAATTTCATGGAAATATTTATTGCAACAGATACAGCAAGTGTCCAGCTATTTTTCAACATATTCGCCACCAGAATTGAGACATTGGTCATACCGTGGGACCAACTTTTGAATACCTGGG